TAAGATGAAAGACTATTGAAGTTGACCATTAGCCTTCTGGTTGAAAAGATACGGGGTTCCTTCATTAGGGTTTACTGCAGGGAAAATGAGGGAAAAGTACGGTTCTGATCCATTGTATTTTCCTTTTTAGTGATTGCTGAAATTGTCCAGTAATTGATGTCTTTGCGGCATGTGTATACAAAGAGCAGAGTTGGGACTTCAACCTGTGCAGTTCTGGTTTTCTGTTGGGATAATTAGATAGTGTTTCTTAAGATCAGGTAATTGTTTAAGGGGTGGTTTTGAAGTATGGGACAGTGCGCTTCTTACGTTCTTGTTTAGGTTGTCCGGGGACACTACAAAGGACAGCAGATCGGCAAGGTGGTCCAGGTGTACAGAAAAAAATACGTCATCTACATTGAACGTGTTCAGCGTGAGAAGGCTAATGGCACAACTGTCCACGTGGGGATCCATCCCAGCAAGGTACGGTGCGCAAAGTGAGATCTGAAATCCATGAGGAGACCTTGTTGGCAAATGAAGACGCTGCTACTGGCATGAGTAGAACCTTGTTATGGGCATGGAATAATGGATTGAGATGGTACAGCGCTGGGGGATAATAAACAAAGAAGTGTTACAGTGTCATGACAGTAGAGAAGTGGCAGTTGAAAGCAAGAACTCCTCCATGTTTCTAGGGCTTATTTGATGGAGAAGCTGCTAGAGACTTTAGTCTTGCTAAAATATTTTTTTGAAGAGCTTGGTGTTTTTAAAGCACAAAACAGATTGTTTAGAACAATCCTTCATCTTTGCTATGTGGCATTTGCACTGTTTAAGGAGGTGTTAGAAATGTTGAGATAGATGCTCAGAATTACGATTTGTTCTTGTGGACTTAAGTTCTTCTGAATCTGGTTTTAGCCTGAAGTGATTTACAATGTTTAGAGTTTGTGAAAACCAGGCAAAGCCTGTTTAGATCATAACAAGAAAACATTTCAAGCTAAACAGAACAACGAGCCAAAACCTGGTTTGAAGCAGATGAAATTAGTCTGCTTCAGCCTTGCCACGTGGGCACGCATACTGAAGTGTTGGTGGAAGAAATCCAGTTGTAACAGGTTTTCTGGTCTAAATGGTTGGTGTGTTCAGCAGAGGGAGAGCAGAATTATTCCAAAACAACATCATGACTTGTGTGCAGTAGTCACATTTGATGGACAAGGTGACATTGCGATGGAGCCAGTGTACATACTACTTGTGTGGTAAATAGCAGTGAAAGAAATCGAATTTTGTGCTGGTCCTTTAATTCTGTGAAAGTTTTCTCTAATTGGGAATCGGACGCTGATAAAGCTTTGTGTAAAGATTCTGGTTATTAATGCAAAAGGAACAGAAGAATGTTTTGTTAGTTGCAAACTTGCAGTGAGGAGGATGAACAGTTTCTACCTCTCCTAGGTGAAGAGGTAGGAATTAATTACAACCAAGAGAGACCTAAATGCACAACGGAACTGGGGAGTGTGCAGCCCTGCTGCAGCCTGTACGGTTTTTCTAGGATTTGATTGTCAATTGTATTTTTAAAGTACTCCCTTCAGTAATATCAACGCATTTATTTCTTTGCCAATTTGAGGGGGCACACAGAGCACTGAAGGCTGCTTGTGGGCTGAGAATCAGAGCTTCAGTTTGCTGCTGCTTTGTTAGAAATACCATTAAGGCTGTGGCAGCAAATGGTCTGCACAATTTACCTTTTATGTCCGTGTTAGTAGTACTTGATAATTGCCTGGCCTCTTCGCAACTGTTCAATAGCAGATGCGTTCTTTGAAGTGTCTTTATGTGAGTCACTGTGGTGCATGAACTTTTACTGTTGCCTGTAGTTTAGCCAGATGCATTGGCTATTCCAAACGGTACAGCAATGATGCGATAGTGGCCAGCGGCAGCAGCATGGTTTTCCAGTGTTCCAAAATTTAGGTAATACTGCTTAAAACATGGAGAAATTAAAATAGTGATCCATTACTTGCCTTTGTGGTGGTGGGATCAGCTATATGCCGTGTTTCAGATGGGTGTAGTATCCATCATGTTTGAGCAGCATAATGGGAATTAGGTTCACTTCAAAGTAATTATTTTATTACGTAGGTAAATAGAAATTTGGCTGCTCTTCAGTTTGTGCAGATGTTTTGGCGGTGCGTCAAAGCAACTGTCCGTACACTCTGATCCCTGAGTGTACCTGGGAAAGTGTGAACACGGAGGCAATTCAGTACCTCAGTTCTACTCAAACCAAATGAGATAATCCATGGAAATAACACCTGTGTGCCAGAGCTGATCTTCCTGGGCCGCGCTGTATTACCACAGTTCTGTCAGGTTGCTGTACTTTAACACTGAAGAGACACTAAATTCTTTGTCCTTTCTCTAGGTGGTGATCACTAGGCTAAAACTGGACAAAGATCGCAAAAAGATCTTGGAGCGTAAAGCAAAATCTCGCCAGGTTGGCAAGGAGAAGGGCAAATACAAGGAAGAAACAATCGAAAAGATGCAAGAATAGATGGTTTCCTATTTGACACCATTAAAGAACTGCTAAAATTAAACCTATTGTTGTGTCTTCTCCTTTACAAAGTCCTGATACGGCGTGTCTGGTTAGCATTTAAATATTCATTCTCATGTTTTGATGTTGGCTATGTAAAAAATACTTCCAGTAAATTAAAAAGCTTTTTATACTTTTTTTTGCTTTTAAGAAAACAAAAGACTTTTTCCCCATAAAGGAATATTTGAACCAACGTTAGAAAGAGTAGCGCAATCCTGAAAACATGCGTCTAACAACCATTGTACTTCTGTCTCTTCCCAATTATCTTTAACACTTACATAGATGTGTTCATGGTTTTAAATGAACGTGTTAATTCTGTGCACTGTATGTATTTAATATTTTATCAGACATTTGAAGTAAGCTATTTCTGGCCATGAATCTCTTTCTGTAATCCTCTTAAATTACATTTTTTCAGCTGTCTTATGAATTTGACAGTAAAGGATGACATTTTAGAGGTTCACCAGGCGTATTGTGGCCAAACACAGCAGTGAATTTGCTGTGTGATGTCTCGGGGTCTTACATTAATGCTAGAGCTTGGGGACGGGGGGTTTACCTCACCAGTGCTCGTGAGGTAGAGCTGTCGGGTTTGAAAAGGGTAGGAGTGAAGGCAGTCTCAGTGCTGTTGCTGACACTATTTTGCATGAATTGTTCTGTAAGAGGAAATCGGGTTTCTAGCGCTTTATACGTATATAACAGAGCTGCTGTAGCGTGTTGAAAACAGCCCTGCAATTATGTGAATTTACTGGCTCGGTGAATGGCCCTCTAATTGCCGATACAGAGGGAAAGAAATGCAGCTCCTGCCTGAACACCGCCAGTCTGAAAAATGGGATGCCGAGAATGGAGGAAAATCACATTTGCGCTTTCGAAGTCGTTTATAGGCGTCGGTACGAAGGCTGCCGTAGAAGGCGGGCGTTGAACGTCGCTGCTTTTATGTAGGTCGAGAGGTTTTGTCCCTCGCAGTTCATGCCATGCACGCGTGCTGCTTAATAAGATCTTTCTTCGCCTTGAGCCGAGGTACTGAGAAAGGCCTTGGGCTTTGCTTCCCCTGTTTTCCAGGGCCCTCCTCAGCTGCTGAGCTGATGCGCCAGCGCGGCACGCTCTCCCGCGGGAGCCTTCTCCGCCTTCCCCGGTTTTTGATGAGCTCAGGACCGGCCCTTGCCCCGAAAGGAGCCCCCACCGTTCCCCGAGGGCTTGTTTCTTCTCCCCTCCTTTCTTCGGCGGCGCCGGGGCCGGGCCGTT